TTTTTCTTTGGAGTTCTTAAGTTTCCTTCATAATCACTTTCACTGTGTCACTACCGTATTTTGGATTTGATATTTAAAGAGAAATATATATAAAATATCACACTTTTAGTTTGATCTCGGACCTGAGATCACCCGAGGGGCCAATCCCAGGTCCGAGATTAAAACTAGAGTGTGGCGTATTTTATATCATATACCTAAAACACAACAAGATACAAGTTTAAAAATATTTATCACTGTTTACAGAAGGAGAATACAGCATATATACGTTATTTTCCACAATTTAACAAGTTTCATTCCTTCAAGGGATATACATTGATTGTGATATTTCCACTCATGTTAGCATTTTGAAACAAGCTGAAACTTCTTTCAGATGTAATTTTCAGTCCATTCCTTGTCACGGTGATAGGAAGATCAACCAGGTAAACCGACTGCTGTTGTTCAGCGGTGTTTACATATGCAGACGTCTCGAACAACTGCACTGCCTGGCTTAAAAATTCATCACAGTTGTCATCCATTGAGTCACATGGTTCTTGATTATCGTTTGTAGCAATGTTGGCAGTTGCCCAAGAAAGTACTTTGGACATTTCTCTTTGCTTTTTGATTGGAAGATGACTGTAGTTATTTATTGATTGGACGTTCTTATGTCCTGTAACCTGCATTACTTGAGTTGGCTCAAACCCTGCCTCCAGTTAGTTTGTGACCGTGGTCTTTCTTACACTGTGGTTTGTAAAACGCTTGTCTGCGATTCCAGCTGAAAGTAAAGCATTTTTAAGCTGTTAATTTTAGTAAGGTATCATTTTTTTTGTTAAGGATCAAGTGTGAGGTTGAGCTCATTGATGATTGATATAGTACCAACCTGTATTAGTCATGTTGCTCACAATTTTTCCAAGCCTAATTTTTCCCATTGGTTGCTTCTTATACCATATGTCATCTGTTGGATTTTGTAAATCTACTGTCGGGCTCCAGCATCCAAAGGCCTGTGTCGTGTGAATTCATTTTAAAGATTAACAGGGCACATAGGGTCACCTGTAACAAGGGATTTAAAAAATTAAACTAGTTATTTAAATCTCTTTTTTGATTTTATTACTCTTACAAACGCATATAATTTTTTGCCTTTTTTTTCAAACATCTTTGGAAGGAATGGTCTGCTCTCTCAATTTCCATGCCTTGTTTTTGATGCTCTTTGTTAGTTAACACCCAGGTCTACATGATGGGTAAACATGGGTACATACAACACACACAAGAACAACATGTAACGTGGTGCAAGGTTTGACTGGTAGGACTAGACTGATGAGGGAAGTGTGCCGGCAGGGTGGGTGACTTTGAGGTTAGTGTAGCATAGATATATTATTTTTCTTTTATTGTTTTATTTTAGATTCCCTTATTCATGTCTGTAGTTTTAGTTTAAATGTAGCATTCTACTGCATTGGTCACTTAGATAGATTTATTTGAGATTTGACCCGGACTGTGGACAGGTCATGGGGAGCTAGCGGTAATTAAGTAAGGAGGAGAAAGTTAGGCGATTATAATCAGTGGGAGGAGGATGTTAGTGATTAATTACGTCTAGACTAGGTAAATGGATCGGGGGGAGTTAAGTGGAGTTAGAGGAGTCAATAAATTATATAAACGGGATGATTAAATAATTAGGAGAAGTTGATATAGAAGTTGTTATAGAAGTAGTGATAGAGTTAGATATAGGAGTGATTTTATAGTGCTTTTCATTCATTAATATTTTGGATTTATTTTTGTTTTAATTTCTTTGGATTATATTCTATTTTTCCTTTGGATTTAATAAACATTTGTAACCAGTTATTGAGTTTTATTACGAGGAAAAACCTATGATTTTAAACACAAGGATTATCATATTGACATTGGATTTTTTACACCAGAAGGAATTAACTTGAACCGCTCGGAAACGCTACAAATGGGGGCAGCGGTGGGATAAATCTGTGTTTTTTCAAAATTGGATTAATATCAGCAGTTATATAGAGGGATTTATCTTACCGTGGATTCTTTTATTTTTCATGGGAATATACCAGTCCACTGCTTGTGTTCATTGGGATATTTGTGAAAAGTGTCAGTGATGGATTTATTTCATTCATATAACTGGATTATACATGCGATTTGTTTATCATATACTATTCATAGTTATGGATGTATACAGATTCGCAGACGTGTATGACTATGATGACAATGGAAATTTAGTGTATATAGGAAGGATTACAATTCACGATAAAAAGGAGTGTCCAAACTGTTATTGTATGTTTAAAGTGAGTGAGAACCGTTTTTCACTTGTCACGGAAAAAGGAGAAATCAGTGAGTTCTTAAAGTGTCCCTTTTGTAAGTGCAGGATTAAAGCATATACAAAACATCGTACCAGTGAAATGTAAAAAAAAAAAAAAAAAAAAAAATGGATGAAACTTCGTATTCATTAATGGATATGGAAATGACAAATTGTGACAGAACTCCGAAACAAAGGACACCAGGATTATTTTCAAATTCAGGAATTTCAAATGTCAGGCGAAGATTGGAGGATTCATTTGTGGACGAAAATTCACCTGAAATTGTACAAAAAGGGAGACTTCAGGAAGACAATTTTTCACATTCAAAATGGAATATGTTAACATTATTTTGGATTTTAATGTTTTTCTGTGGATGTGTTTCTGTTCTTGGATTATATCGTTATTTTCCGGGATACATGCTTCTTTGCTTGACCAAGGAATTTCTTATTTCTGTGGGAATTGTTGCGCTGTGTTTAGTGATCATAAGTTTGATTGAAAAAGTTTCTAAGGGAACAATCAAATCAGAAAATGGATGGAATATCTATCAAACAACACCAGGAAATTATGGCAATAACAAAGAACGCAATATTGGAACACCATTTCAGGAATCCACACATCAAGTCAATGTTAAGCGTACTTTCAGAGGAGATGGAAATGAAATCTGGACGGAATTCATAAGATATTTTGAGAATGTTGCTGTTCTCAATAACTGGAATTTTGATCGTAGAAGACGAATTTTATTTACTACCTTGAGAGGACAAGCTGAAACATATGCTTATGGTTTATCAGATGAACAGAGAAATAGTTATGAGGAACTTGTCAAGGCAATGGATTATAGATTTGGACACAGGTCAATGAAGGAAAGTTATATTGCAGAGGCTAAACTTCGAAAGAGAAAATAACATGAATCTTATAGAGATTTTTGCTCAGAGTCTTGAGGATTTGTATCGTCGTGCACATCCAGAGAGCCGAGAGTATGTACAGGAATGCAGTATGAAAACATTTCTAGATAACTGCAGTGAATCTGAAAGTTTTAGACTAGCAGTTAGGAGAAGTAGACCTAAAACTCTACAGGAGGCTGTGACTTGTGCAATGCAGGAAGAGTGTATAAGAATAAGCGAGCAACAGAATAGAGAACCAAGGGCTCAGAAACCCAGAATTTACCAGATTAGTGGTCAGTCTTTTGAGAGAAATCAAAATGAAGTCATTAGACGAGATACAAGAAAAAGATGCTTCAATTGTAATTCTACTCAAGATTTACAAAGAACCTGCCCAGCAATTAAAAAAGAATCTGCAAACCAGACAGAGTAAAGAGAACAAACCCATCAATGATGCCATAAAGTTAGAGGAGAGATCGTTAAACAGCGGGAGACCGAGGTAATAGGCCGTGCTCCGGTCTGTGATATTGATAGGCCTAGTACAGTGGAAGTAAATCACCATAACTTACGAGTAGTTAATAACAGAGCTCATAAGGAACCATGTAATGATGATTTCAGGGACGTGAAGCTCAATGAAAGTAATTATTGTGATATTCTAAAGAAAACAACGTCTGAAATGCAGATTCCAGGGAGAAGTGGATTTTTGGTCAATGGACTAATTCAAGGAACACAAATAACTTGGAAAATGGATACTGGAGCAAAGAAAACCTTCATAACAGAGGAAACTTTTTATAATATACCTCCAGATAACAGACCTGTACTAGAGCCAGTGAAGAGTAAATTCTTTTCTGACGATGGAAATAAATTAATGCTTTTGGGAACATCTAAAATATTGCTGACATTTCAAGATATTAGTGCAGAATTTAGGGTTTTTGTTGGGAGTGTTACACATGATTTACTGGGAGAAGACTTCTTTCTGAGATTTAAATGTAATTGGAACCATCAATTAGGAGCATTGAACATGGTTTTTGATTCTGAAAATAAAGGAGAATGGTATCCATCTAGGAAAATTTATACTTTGGATTCAATTACAATTCCTGGAAGACATGAAGCAGTAGTAAGATCAAGCATTACTAATATTAATGGAGAAAATGGAATTCCAATGCCTTTAACAACTTTTGTGAATTCGCATGGAATAGGAGTAGCAAGAACATTAGTTGATTCACATAGTCCAGAGATTTATGTTCGATTATACAATCCAGGAAACAATTCTGTAACAGTGAAGAAGAGTACAGACGTAGCATTATTTATTACTGTGAACACTGTAAGTCAGCCGATCAGTGATGAAGAAATTATGATATGTGAGATTTTCCAGTCTGAGAAAGAAGACATTCCAGAACATTTGAAGCCAGTTTATGAGAATGGAAGACAGAATTTAAGTTTTGAAGAATCTGAGAAATTTAAAAAGTTTCTCATTGAACGAAGAGATATGTTTGCTGATCCAAATGGAGTGTTACAGAGAACAACCATTGGAGAGCATAGGATTACTCTGAGTGATGAAACATCATTTAAGGAGGCGCCGAGACGAGTACCAATATTTAAACGAGAAATTCTTGATCAAGAGATAGAGAAATTACTTGAACAAGGAATTGTGGAGAAATCCAGCAGTCCATAGTCGTCACTTGTTTTGGTTCAGAAGAAGGACAAGAGTTGGCGAGTTTGTGTGGATTAACGTCGATTGAATGCTAATACGATAAAGGACGCATATCCGATACCAAGGATAGATAATAATCTGGATGCATTGGCTGGATCGGAATGGTTTTCATCATTAGATTTGAACATGACGTATCACCAAGTACCGATGTTGAAGAGGGATAAAGAGAAAACTGCATTTGCTACACCACGAGGAGGTTTATTTCAGTATACTGTCATGCCATTTGGACTTTGTAATGCACCTGCGACTTTTCAAAGAATCATTGAAAGAGCATTGAGTGGATTGCAGTGGAATGTAGCTGTGTTATATCTTGATATAATTGTCTATGGTAAGAATTTTGATGAGCATTTGGTTTACAGAGAGTATTTGATAGACTGGAGGAGACGAATTTGAAGTTGAAAGCAAAGAAATGTTCATTTTTCAAAAAGGAAGTGTCTTTTCTTGGATATGTTGTATCTGGAGTAGGAATCAAAACAGATCCTGCTAAAATTGATGCTGTTAAAAGAATATCAGTACCAAAGAATGTTACAGAATTGAAAAGTTTCCTTGGATTGGTTTCGTATTACCGAAAGTATATTAAGGATTTTGCCAAGATTGCAAAATGTTTACATTTTCTCACAAGTAAAAATAGTAAATGGAATTGGACGACTGAATGTGACGAAGCCTTCTGTGAGCTGAAGCAAAAACTACAAGAAGCACCTATATTAGGATACCCAGACATAAATGGTGGATCTTTTATACTGGACACAGATGCAAGGAATGAAGCTATAGGATGTGTTTTATCTCAAATTCAGGATGGAAGGGAAAGATTATTGCTTATGGAAGTCGAACTCTTAGTTGAGCAGAGAAGAACTATTGTGTGACAAAGAAAGAGATGCTTGCTGTAATTTATTTTGTAAAATATTACAAACACTATTTGTTGGGAAAAGAATTTGTACTAAGAACGGATCATGGTTCGTTAACGTGGCTTCATAAATTTAAGGAACCAGATGGACAAATATGTCGTTGGTTACAACAACTTGGACCTTTTGTATTTACAATTGTACATCGTCAAGGGAAACAACATTCAAATGCTGATGCCTTATCCAGATTACCGATAGAAAACAATAGTTGTCAAACTAAGTGTAAGCAAACAGATCATGGTGAATATAATGGTGATTTAGTGACACATGTGAATGATTTGCGTGGAAATACCAGTGAAAACATTACAAAAGAAGTCGTATGTGACATTTATCATTTATTCAATGCGACTAGTGATGAAAATAATGACGATGTGGATTCTGAAAGAATTACAAAAAGAAGAAATCGACCAAGACGTGTTAAACAACGGGAAATACCAAACATGCAACTGTCGTATGAGGAAATTCGTGAAAAACAGGAACAAGACTCAGGAATAGGACCAATTCTTGAATTGTTTGAGGAGTATGGGACAGAGAATAAGCCTTCCAGTAATGTAATATCATATCTCGACTCGGAATGTAAATTTTGGTACAGTAGATGGGAAATACTGGAAATTTATCAACGAGTATTGTGCATCAAATGGACAGAAAAGGAAAATATAAAGTTAAGAAATTGTACACCTAAAATAATGCGGGATGTAGTAATGTGGTACCTTCATGATTCTCCAGTATCTGGACATCTTGGAATTCAGAGGACTATTAGAAAACTAAATCAGAGTTCTTATTATTGGCCATGTATTCGAGAATATGTGACAGATTATGTGAAATCATGCTATGTGTGTGTGAAGAAAGAAAGAACCCTTACAGACAAAAACGTAGTGAAATGGAATCTTTCATAGCAGGAGGGCGTTTTGAAAGAATTGCAGCGGATATAGCTGGACCATTTCCAAAAACAGCTAGTGAAAATGTGTACATTCTTGTGGTAGCAGATTATTTTACAAAGTTTGTGGAAATATTTCCAATTCCAAATATGGAAGCTGAGACTGTTGCCAGTGTTATATTCAAAGGATGGATTAAACGCTATGGATGTCCTCATGCATTACATACAGATCAAGGTCAACAATTTGAAAGTCAACTTTTTCAGAATTTGTGTACATTACTGGGCATTCACAAAACCCGCACAACTCCGTTTCACCCAAGATCAGATGGAATGGTGGAGAGGTTAAATCGTACTATTAAGGATACGTTGTCAAAATATATTTCCTTAAATCAGTCAGACTGGGACAAATTTATTGACGGAATTTCAATGACTTACAACAGTACTGTCCATGAAACAACAGGAGTGAGTCCATACTGAATGATATTTGGAACAGAAATGGTGATGCCAGTTGATTTATTCTCAGATCCGAGTAATAGTGCTATCAGTGATTTATACAACCATCATGAATATGTTCGAGAGTTAAAACAAAAACTAGAAAATTGCCATGAAATTGCCAGAGAAGAAACAAAGAAAAATAGCTAAAATCAGAAAAGAAACTACAATAAAAATGTGAAAAAATAAAATATAGTGTTGGTGATACTGTGTGCCTTTTCCAACCACAACAGATACTAGGAACTAAACTTAAGCTTGCAAGAAATTGGAGTGGACCTTGGATAGTGATTAAAAAACTTAGTGATGTGTTATATCAGATTCAACATTCTACTGTGTCAAAACCTATTGTGATTCATGCGGACAATCTTAAACCAATTAAAGTAAACAAAACGATCTATCATAAACTTCGGCAAATAATTCAACAGTGTTAAGACAGGAATTCTGAGGTCATTGTACCTAATTTATGTCCTAATGATGAGGTCCCAGAGGAGAACATTGAAGATCATACAAGCAACCTTAAAAATTCTGAAAGCAGAAACACCTTGCCAGATTCAGATGGAAATCAAAATGTACCGTTAGAGAGGAGCAGGAATGAGACTAATGGACATTTGTCAACTCCAACCCAGGTGGAAAAGAAAACAAGACTGGGAAGAATTATAAAGACACCAACAAGTTTAGGAAATAAACACTTCTAAATTTACTCTCGATGGATATACATAAATGTTTAGACTGCGATATTACTTATAAATATAAAAGGAATTTACTGCGACACCAAAGAGAACATCATAATTCAAAGAAGAAATTTTTTACATGTGACATTTGTGAACAAAGTTTTTCTAGACTATTCAATTTAAAAAGACATTATAGTTCCCAACATACTTTGTATGAAGTTTTAGAAGGTTTTAAAGAAGATGACAATTTAGAAACGAGTAAAACAATGGATTATTTCACAGTGAAAAGTGACCTGTATGAAGACATTTCTTCAGATGAAGAAGACATTCTAATCACTTCTGATGGAAATGACAATGACAAGATTGAAAGAGAAGACTCTAATTGTCATGCAAAGGATGTTTCTGAAGAACTTTTATCTCCAACAAATAGTGCCTCGCCTGCGCAACCGTGCACAGAAGAGTCCAATCAAGGTGACGAAAACCAAAATATTGGTCGAGAACTATTAACAAAATCAATCAATATTCAATACATAAGGAGAACTGTTGAATTTCCAGGGGGAAGGAGCGAAGTTCAAAGAGAAGTGAATTTCACCAATAGTGAAAATATAGACCTTCGTGATGTGGATGAACTATTGAGCGATTTTGCGAGCGAGATGGGAGCTCATTATTAAATGTTAAATGATGTGTCTTGAAAAGGAAATAATGAACCGTGACATTTTAATTTGAAATGTTTTTAATTTCCTTGCGTTCGCGTTCAGTAATTGCTTTAATCATTTTTTTAATGTTCAGTTTGTTTTTGTTGTACATAATACTTTACATATATTTGCATTTTATTATCTTTTGCATTGTACGATTGAAAGGTACGTTTGTTTAATTAGTTTAGCCATTATTTTGATTTTACATTTTTATCAATTTTAGAATTTGATATTTTTTTAGCATTGTTGTATCTTTGATTAGTTAAACTTGCAGTAGAAATAGTTTTTTTTTAATTACTTTTGATATATTCTTAATTATCAATGTTTTGAACGGATTCAAAACATAAGCAGGGGGAAATGTAGCGTAGATATATTATTTTTCTTTTGTTTTATTTTAGATTCCCTTATTCATGTCTGTAGTTTTAGTTTAAATGTAGCATTCTACTGCATTGGTCACTTAGATAGATTTATTGGAGGTTTGACCCGGACTGTGGACAGGTCATGGGGAGCTAGCGGTAATTAAGTAAGGAGGAGAAAGTTAGGCGATTATAATCAGTGGGAGGAGGATGTTAGTGATTAATTACGTCTAGACTAGGTAAATGGATCGGGGGAAGTTAAGTGGAGTAAGAGGAGTCAATAGAGTATATAAACGGGATGATTAAGTAATTAGGAGAAGTTGATATAGAAGTTGTTATAGAAGTAGTGATAGAGTTAGATATAGGAGTGATTTTATAGTGCTTTTCATTCATTAATATTTTGGATTTATTTTTGTTTTAATTTCTTTGGATTATATTCTATTTTTCCTTTGGATTTATTAAACATTTGTAACCAGTTATTGAGTTTTAGTACGAGGAAAAACCTATGATTTTAAACACAAGGATTATCATATTGACATTGGATTTTTTTTTACACCAGAAGGAATTAACTTGGACCGCTCGGAAACGCTACATTAGGGTGAAAGTTCATAGGGAATATATTTACATCTGCAATTTCACTACAGATCCCAAACTGCTTAATTGCCCTAAGTGCTGAGTACAGGTAAAAATTTGTAGCCCTCCACCGACAAGTTTAAGCGTTACCTTGTGAGTGAAAAATTCTCGAGAGGGACTTTAAACAACAAACTAAACAATTTTTTTGCACGAATAGTTTAAAGGACGAATTGTTTATTTTATGAAAAATGTGACCATTGTTAAGGTAATCTCAATTAACTCGGACAAATACTGCAGAATAAGATTTCCTGCAACTACTACGAAATTTGAGATATACTTATGCATATGCTGTTTTATCACAAGTTAAGTTCATACACAACGTACATTACCTCTTGGTAGTTTTTCAAGTAATTCTTAATTTAAAATGAAACGCAAAAATATATTGCTTATAATAAAGGTAAAAAGGATATGTTTGACACCGGCTTGCTGATAAATGCGGGAGTGGTAAATGATTGATTGATTGATTATGGTTGTTTTACGCCGAGTCGGCAATATTTCAGCCATATTTCGGCGGTATGAATTAAATACTGTATGAACGGTTTTGAGAGTTTTTGGGTTTCTCTGGCGGCCCCCAATGAGCCTACTCTTTTTCGAAAACCAGAGAAACGATCTTTAGCGTGCCAAGGGGGTTGTAATCCTGGACACGGGGCACCGTTTTACGTCCCATCCGACGGACTTGGAATTTAAAAATAAAAACAGTTAAATTGAAAATTACAAAATGCTAATAAAAATATATACATTTAAATCTTATTGTAAAAATCAGTTTCTTGCAAGTATTGTAAAATTGCACTAGGATTTACATTTGTAAAAAGATCATGCATTGTTTGCACGCCATTAAAAAGTTTATTTCGAACAGGCGTAAAATCAGAACATTCTAAAAGTATATGGTTTATAGTTATTACACAGTCACAAGATATGCATTCAGGTTGATGTTCCCCGCTCAGTAAATATGAATGGGTAAACCTTGAATGTCCAATTCTTATTCTTGAAATAATGACTTCGTCCTGACGTTTCAGGCCAAAGTCAGATGATTGATTAACTTTGTTTTGTATGGTATAAAGTTTATTATTATCACAAAAATCCCAAAATATTTGCCAAAGGGAATTTATGTAAAATTTCACCAAGTACTTAAGATCAGTGTAAGGAATTTTAAAAGGTACAATTTCATACTGAAGAGCTGTTTTTGCAGAACTATCGGCCTTGTTATTACCCGAAATACCAATGTGACTCGGAATCCAACAAAATTCGACTTCTTTGCCTTGCTGAGTAAGATGATAGAACTTAGTTAATATATCCAAAATGTATGGGTGATTTGTGTTCATATTGTGTATGGACTCTAAACATGAGAGCGAGTCTGAAAATATTGTAAATGAATTTTCACTAGAAGTTTTTATATATTCAAAAGCAAGTTGTATAGCTTTTGCTTCGGCCGTAAAAATTGTTGCTTCGTTCGGAAGTCGTGTAGAAAAAACATCATTTTTGACCACTGCAGCAGCAGCAACCCTGCCTCTGTCCTTAGAACCATCTGTGTAAATTTCTCTTGAAGGATGTTTAGATTTTATTTCAGTTAATTTCTGTTGAAAAATGAGAGGATTTGTTTCTGATTTCTTAAGATCTGATAAAGATTTATTCACTACTGGTTTAATTAATTTCCATGGTGGTATTTCAGAAAGAGTAGAAGGTTTTACAATATCCAATGGTAGTTCGGAATCTCTTATATGATTTTTATATCGGAAACAAAGTGGTTTTATGCATTTCTTGTTTTTATCATATAAATTTGCATTTGGTGGATGAAAAACACAGTCATGAGCAGGATTATCGGTATTTGCTTTTAATTTAATTATATATTGTAAAGCAAGTTTAATTCTTCTCAAGTCTAGAGGTGGTTCATTTGCCTCTAGATATAAACTATCTTTAGGAGAAGTTCTAAAAGCCCCCAAGCACAATCTAAGACCTTGATGGTGGATTGCGTCAAGAGCTTTTATATAGGAAGTCCTAGCTGATCCATACACAATACACCCATAGTCTAATTTCGATCTTTCTAGAGAGCGATAGAGTTTAAGTAGAGTACTTTTATCAGCTCCTCATTTTGTGTTTGCTATTACTTTAATAATATCGAGTGCCTTTAAACATTTTTCTTTGAGCATCTTTATGTGTGGAATAAAAGAGAGTTTATTATCAAAAATGACACCTAAAAACTTTATTTCTTTAACTACATTTATTGGATTTCCATTTAATTGCAAATTCGGATCATCATGGCTTTTCCGCTTTAAACAAAAATGTACACACGCGGTTTTATTCATTGAAAATTTAAAACCATTAGTATCGGCCCAATTTTGAATTTTGTTTAGACATGATTGTAACCGCCGCTCAATAAAATTCATATTTTTAGACTTATAACACAGAACAAAGTCATCAACATATAAACTACCATGCATATCATTTTTAAGTACTTCAGCCAAACTATTTATTTTAATGCTGAATAATGTGACTGAAAGAATACTTCCTTGTGGTACACCCATTTCTTGTTCAAAATTGTCTGAAACTGTAGTTCCTAATCGCACTTTAAAAGTTCTATTATTTAAAAAATTCTTAATAAAATTAGGTAAATTTCCTTTGAGACCAACATTGTAAAGATCTTTTAAAATTCCATATTTCCATGTAGTATCATACGCTTTTTCTAAGTCAAAAAAGATAGACACAGCATGCTCTTTTTTAACAAAAGCATCTCTAATATAGGTTTCCAGTCTAACTAACTGGTCAATAGTACTTCGTTTTTTTCTAAAACCACATTGTATATTTGTAAGGATGTTATTGGTTTCAAGAAACCATATTAAGCGTTCATTGATCATCCGTTCCATGGTTTTACATAAGCAGCTTGTTAATGCAATTGGTCGATAATTATTAGGGTCTGCATGGTCCTTTCCAGGTTTTGGAATAGGAATAATTGTGGCTTGAGTCCAGGAAGGTGGAAAATGACCTCGTTCCCAGATAGTATTAAAAATTTGCAGAAGACATTCTTTACTTTCACTAGGAAGATGTTTAATTATTTGATAGTGGATATGATCCGGCCCTACAGCTGTGTCATGAGATTTGTCTAAAGATTTTTGCAACTCTTCAAAAGTAAATGGTTCATTATAACATTCTTTGTTTTCGGATATAAAATCTAATGTTTTCTTTTCTTGAGTATTTTTATGAGCAATAAAATTAGGACTCATGTTGTTTGTCGAGGAATTTTTTGAAATTGTATTAGCTATTTCATTAGATATTTCTTTCTTATCAGTTATAATTTGATTTCCAATACTAAGATGTTGATATTTTTCAGGACCTTTTCCTTTTA